GTGTGTGTGTGTGTGTGTGTGTGTGTGTGTGTGTGTGTGTGTGTGTGTGTGCGCGCGCGCGCGCGCCCGCCCGCGCACACACACGTATCAATGTATTTGGGAGTAAAAACCAGGAACTAAAACCCTGTTACATTGCTTTGGCACGGGCTTTCAGTCTCCTTAATATGTTCCTCTTCAAATCCAGTACCGCGGCAAAGATATGCTCTATTGAAACATGACAGGTTGGCTATAATATTATGTGGATAAGGTGCCCTCTGATCTACGAGCAAGAAGTGTCAACCGATATCTAACCTTTCATTCACTTTCTTATCGTGAGATCAGCTGACCACATTGATAAAAGAGTGTAGGCCTACATAAGTTTGAGGCCTGAAATAGGGACCGCGGAAGTAATGTTGTCCCTAACGCCATAAAACTAAAAGCTCGGTGAATTATTTTTTTTTAGATAACTCCGTGGGCCCTAACCTGAAAAAAACCCCTCAAGTTTAGTACGCGTTTTATGGCACTTGCAACACAATTACGTCTTATAAGTGTTGAAGACTTCAGATGTTTCAAGAGAATTACAAACATAAAAAAGAAAGGGGAGAGATAAAGACGATTGGTGTTTGATAGGACAGAAAGAGAAACCACACCAGATCACCCGCCAACCACCCACACGTTAAATAAACTTTGGTGCCGTTGAGGTGAAGAAGGTGGAGAAGGAACATGGCCCATATTCATATTTGGCAAAAAGAACAACTCAAACAAACAGCTCCTTCTCTCCATGCTGCAAAGTGGTCGTTATCTTGAATATTTCTCAAGGGTCATAACGTGCGAGGTCAGGTTAGACTTATGCCAGATCCTCAGACATTTGCTAGCACTCGAAGGGCAACGCACGATAGAATTCATAAACAAGACAACTGTTAAGTCGCACATGATTGTTAAGGGTGACACAAGTGCAATAACTGTGTCATTAAGATCCATCATTTGTTGAAACAACGTAGATAATGGCTCGAGAGGGGTAGACCTAAAATTGTGTTCGATTTCGTCGGAAACTCAAAGTTGATCGTATCCCATTCAGTTTCACGAGAAGGTTGGTGTCTGCTTTATTTGCTTCTGTCGAGTAGATCTAGGACAAAATAATACAGTTCACCGTTTGTGTTGTTGTTGTTTTTTTGTTTTTCCTCTGCGCCACTTGACATTCGTGATTTTCTCTATTTCTAATAAAACGTGTTTATCGGCTCTTGCAACACAATACGGTCATAAAAGTACCGACGATTAGAGTTTTTATAAGGAGAGTAAGAGAATAACACACCTACACACACACACACACACA